ATCATGATGCTCACAGAATTGGTTGAATTCAGTTGCAAACTAGATGAAAAAATGAAGGCTACACTAAGTGAAATGAAGAAAAATGTACAGTAACCAATAGTGATGGGAAAGAAACTTCCTTCACTCCCAATAGTGAGGGGAGTGAAGGGGAGAAAATGGGACAACTGTAATAGCATAATCAATAAAATATTTTTTAAAAATAAAAATAAATAAAATCTTTAAAAAATAATAAAAATAAAATCTAAAAACCACATCCTTGGTTTTAAAAACACACTGCCCAAGAGCTAAAAAGAGAAATAATAAATAAAATATAGCTGGAAAAAAAAAGAAAAAACATAGCCCAAATGAAAGATCAAAACTCCAGAAAAAGAGCTAATCAAAATGGAGATTAGCAACCTATCAGATACAGAGTTCAAAATGCTGGTTATAAGGGTGCTCAAGGAATTTAGTGAGGACCTCAACAGCATAAAAGAGATCCAGTAAGAAATGAAGGATTCATTAATTGAAATAAAGAACAATCTATAGGGAAACGACGGTAGAGTGGATGAAGCCAAGAATCAAATGAATGATTTGGAATATAATGAAGCAAAAAAACACCAATGAGAACAAGAAGAAGAAAAAAGAACCCTAAAAAACAAGGAGAGTATAAGCAGCCTCTGGGGCAACCTCAAGCATTCCAACACTGGCATCATAGGGGTGCCAGAAGGAGAAGAGAAAGAGCAAGAAATTGAAAAGCTATCTGAAAAAACAATGAAAGAAAACTTCCCTAATTTGGTGAAGGAAACAGACATGCAAGTACAGGAAGCATAGAGTCCCAAACAAAATGGATGCCAAGAGGCCCACTCCAAGACACATCATAATTAATATGCCAAAGGTTAAAGATAAAGAGAGGATCTTAAAAGCAGCCAGAGAAAAGTAGTTAATTACATACAGGGGATTTCCCCTAAGACTGTCAGCTCATTTCTCTAAAGAAACTTTGCAGGCTAGAAGGAATTGGCAAGAAATACCATATTTTGCAATAGGTGTAATGCGTTCCTGTGTATAATGGGCATCATGTTCTTGGTGCGAACTTTCAGGAAAAAAAACCTTTCATTTTAATTTTTTAATTTATATTTAGAAACAAAATCAATTTCATATTCCAGGGTGATATTTTGCATACAGATATAGTTATTACTTTCTAGAGTTGTAGTAGTTTTAATGCATAAGCATAAATAAAATAACTAAGAACATTTATATAGATACAGAATTAGTACAACCCATGTATAATATACACCCTTATCTTTCCCTAAAAAATTTGGGCCAAAAAGTGAACATTATAGATGGCAAAATATGGTATTCCAAGTTATGAAAAGCAAGGACCTATAGCCAACTATAATTTAGAATCAAGGACCTACAGCCAAGATCGCTCTACCCAGCCAAGCTATCATTTAGAATCAAACAGCAGATAAAAAGCTTCCCAGACAAGAAAAAACTAAAGGAGTTCATCTCACTAAACCATTATTTTTTTAAAAGATTTTCTTTATTTATCTTTAGAGGGGAAGGGAAGGAGAGAGGGAGAGAAATATCAGTGTACGGTTGCCTGTCGTGTGTCCCCTGCTGGGACCTGGCCTGCAACCCAGGCATGTGCCCAGACTGAGAATTGAACTGCGATCCTCTGGTTCACGGGCCCACGCTCAATCCACTGAGCTACACCAGCCAGGGCTCACTAAACCGTTATTATATGAATGGTTAAAGAAACTTATTTAAGAAAAAGAACATTGAAATTGGGAAAAAATACATCTCTATCGACAATTGAATCTTGCCCTGGCTGGTGCAGCTCAGTGGATTGAGTGCATGCCTACAAACCAAAGGGTCGCTGCTTCGATTCTCAGTCAGGGCACATGCCTGGGTTGCGGCCCAGATCCCCAGTGGGGTGCATGTGAGAGGCAACCACACATTAATATTTCTCTCTCTTTCGCCTTCATTTTCCCTCTCTCTAAAAAGAAATAAATAAAATCGTAAAAAAAAAAACAATTGAATCTAAAAAGCAAACTTAGCAAACAAGAAGAACAGAGCCAGAATCATGGATACACAAGAGCATTTTGATGGTTGCCAGGTGGGAGGGAAGTGTAGGGGAAAAGGATGAAGATGTGAGGAGATTAAGAGGTACAAATAGGTAGTCAGAGAATAGCCATGAGATGTAAAATATAATATAGGAAATGGAGTAGCCAAAGAACTTATAAACATGACCCATGAGCATGAATAATGGTGGGGGGGGGGTTGTCTGAGGGAGTGGTATGTGCTGGGTGGAGAGGTATAAAGGGGGAAAAATTATGACAACTGTAATAGCATAATCAATAAAATATAATTTAAAAATAAATTTTAAAAAGCAAATATATAGCTTAAAGATGTCTGACCACAGTAAATACTATAGCTTCCTGTTTGAGCACACACTGCCCGAGCCCAGTCTGGAAGGTATCAGTAGGGGCTGCTCTATACAGCTCCTTACCTAATAACTCTGACCAGAAGAAGGTCTTCTACTCCTAGAGCTCAAGGGGCAGCCAACTTCTCAAACTCACTGATTTCTGGACCTCAGTGCTGAGCAGGCTGTTGACTCAGACAAGGAGTAACACCACTTGGGGGAGCGTGTTTCGTGAGGCACACGGACAGTCTCTTCCTTCTCTGGTCACCAGATGCCCAACCCAGAATTCTTTCAGTCACTGGAACTCTCTGCTAAAAGTGAGACTAGAACTACATCAAATTAATATTGCATCTAAAATCGCAGTCCTTCAGTGCTCTTCTCGTAAAAGACGTTGATGGCCCTGGCCAGGCGGCTCAGTTAACTGCAGCATCATCTCACATACCAAAAGGTTACAGGTTCAATTCCCAATCAGGGCACACAGCTAGGTTGTGAATTCAACTCTCTCCCTTCTCTCTCTCTAAAAATCAATAAATACATCCTCAAGTGAGAATTTTAAAAAAGCTGATGACCAGATTTAGGTCTTCACCTTTTACTGTATTCAAAAGACTACAATCCTATTAAATAAGATCCTTAAAAATTATGACAAAAATCTTTGACCAAGTAATTTCACTACTGGGAGTAGTAACAGCAGCTAAAAGTTCTTAAGTACTTACTATGTGGTCTGTACCATGCTACCCACTTTCCTGAAAATATCTCATTTAACCTCACAAAAACCAAATAAGGTTGTGACTATCACTGGATAGATGAAAGGGAAGCCTGGAAACTGGCACAGGTCACACACTCTAGTGAGTGACAGAGGTGGGGCTCAATCTCAGACGGTGGGACTCCAGAGCCCATCTTTTTTTACCAGCACCCACATGAGGAATGCATCCTTGGGAAATAACCCCAAAGTATAGCAACGTCTTAAGGCATAAGAGGCTCAGTGCCATGTACATGGCAATTTGAAGCATTCTAAATACACAACAGTTAAGTAAATGGAGACAATTCAAATTACAAAATATTACATAGGCATTAAAATACTTTTATATTGCCCTGGCTGGTGTAGCTCAGTGGACTGAGCACAGGCCTGCGAACCAGAGGATCGCGGTTCAATTCCCAGTCAGGGCACATGCCTGGGTTGCAAGCCAGTTCCCAGCAGGGGACACATGAGAGGCAACCATACATTGATGTTTCTCTCCCTCTCTCCTTCCTTCCCCTCTAAAGATAATAAAATCTTAAAAAAATACTTTTATAGCTAACTTTTACTCATGAAGGAAATTTATGCTATTAGAAGAGAAAGCAAAATACAAAACTTTACACATAGACCTCAACTATGTAAAAGTTACCTGCACATGGAAAGATCTAATTCACTGTTATATAAAAAAGACAAGTTGCACAATAATATATACATGGCATGGTCCCACTTATATAGATAGAACCTGACTCTAAATGTAAGCCATTATTATTATTATCACTACAGTGGACATGTACTACTTTTCAATCAGGAAAAAAGTCAACAAATTTATTTAAATTATACATTTTTATATCTTCCTTATTTAAGAAATAACAAGTGTATTGCTTCAGGAAAATTAAATAACATATCTTTCTTTCCCAGAAATCTGAACTTCTAAACTAGCTCACCGTTTCAGATTAAATGCCTCTATCTTATGGCACTCAAGCAGCACTGAGGAACACACCGCACTACCACCCATCATCTCAAGTACAGTTACATTCTGCATGTCAGACCACAGAAAACCGTGGACCACAGAATACTGATAGTATTACGCATAGAATTCAAAGTCGCAGACAGAAAAGCAAGGCTGCGGTGGAACTTCAAGGGCCCCTCCCTTACTCACACTGGAGTTTTGGTGCACTCTTCAAGAGACAAGCAACAGCTTCAGGGCAATGCAGCAAAAACATGTAGGACACGAATGGGGATTAGAAATGTTTGGCAACTGCTGACTTCAGGTAGAATTTACTTGCACACACACACAGAAACCTACAAAGTACTTTCTTTAAAGATCTTTATTTTTTGAAAGAGGGGAAGGGAGGTAGAAAGAGAGGAAGAAACATCAATGTGCAGCTGCCTCTCACACGCCCCCTATTGGGCCCACAACCCAGGCCTGTCCCCCGACTGGGAATCAAACCAGCAGCGACTCTTTGGCTCAAAGGCCGGCACTCAATCCACTGAGGACAAGGGACTTATTTTTAATTGAAAATGGGCAACTCTAGAACTTAGTTCCTGAAGTTCCATACAAGTTTCAATATTTAAACACGTAAGTTGAAATGCAAATTCCATGGCACTGTCATGAATGTCAGCCTAACTATGGCAAAGAAGAAGCTGCAACATTAAAAGATAAAAGATTTCCCCTTTCCCTTCTCCTCAGGTATGTACTACAAAATGACATACCTGCCAAAGTAATAAAGAACATGAAAAGTAATAAAGAATTAATTAGATAGAAAACAAATAAACAAAAAAAATTATAACTTTGAAGAATTGTCTCTTTTTTCTGTACTGTATTGTACAGAATTACAAAACCGTCACACAGTTAGTCCTTACCTGTATCCTGCCCCACCAGCCCATTGCAGTACATGGCATGTCGCTCAATCTTCGTGGGTGGGAAGCCTTGGTCACACAGTGGGCAGGATACCTTGGTACTGGATGGGAAGGTAGAAACAGGTATTTCCTTCTCAGCATCTTCCCTGTTACCAACCTGAAGAACATGACAAACAGCAATTGTTAACAGCTTTACTTTATAAAATAATTTCCCCCCAAAGAACTATAAGAAACTCTATCCATACTTCATTTACTATTCAAGAGACAACTCCAGTCAGCTTGCATGAGGACTGGACTGAGGATGAGACATACAATGACACACTTAATATTCGGTGCCTGCCCACTATTTGCTAAGTACTCTGCATGTAAAATTCATTTGATACTCACAGCAGTCTAACAAAGGTATTAACATACCCCTTTGACACATGAGAAAAGCGTTGTCCAAAACAGTAAAGCAACCTGCCCACAGTTACAGGACAAGGAAGTGGAAGAGCTCCAAACACCACAGACATCCCTCTGTCCCGCTGCAGGTCCCTGTCCTCCCGGAGTCAGTACACTGTGCCTGCAGTGTTCCTATAGTCTACACAGCAACAGCACCTTAAAGACACTCTCCCAACCTCACAAAAGGACTGCGATGTTGTACTTGACTTGAGACATATATAAGGAGTTAGAAAACAAAAGAGCTCTAAGCAAAAGCAGGACTAGAATTTAAGAATCTAGGTCTCAGCTTACACCAGTTGAGATACACCATCTCTTGTGTTTTATTTATGACTGTTGGATTGAAAGCAGATATACCACCAAGACCCAAATATTCAAGAAGTTCAAAGAAAAGTCATTAAGACAATTCTGCCAAAGCCACTCTTACACCTTCTCTCCCCTGTTCCTCCCATTGTTCCACAGTCATCATTTTTCCAACAGTTGTGGTGTCTCTCAGAGGCAGTTTTGTTTTACCTTTACGGGTCAAAACAGAGAACTCTGCAGTGATATATTCAACAGTATGAGTTAGCACTGCAGCACTACTGCCCAACACTCGCTTGGAAGGACAGCGTGTCCTATCCAATCAACGTGAAACTGTCCTGCACAGTCACTGCTCCCATTTCAGAGCAAGGAGCACCTGGGCTGTCATTACGCCTTACTACAGGGAAAAAATAGACCATCTTCTGCTACAAGAAAACAGGACCAAAACTGCAATGAGTGGATAATCTGAGCTCTAAGCAAACTGGGTTTGGGGATAGTTTTTTGTCTCTTAAGTTTAGAACATCCCTGAAATCTACTGCTTGTGAAAGTGACCCAGCAGAGAGGGAAACAGGCCATCTAAATACCAAGTCAAACAGTTTCTACAAATGCCAGAAAATGCTGTTTTCAACACACATGCTTCGTACTTAAAAAGACATACTCTGAACAGGGCAAAAAAGAAAGATGAGGAAGGGACTAACAGTGGCTGAGTTCCTACACTAAACCGGGCCTGGCCAAGCATGTTCCGTATCCATCCCTCTCAACAACCCAACTAGTCAAGGTATCACTAGCTCCAGTATTACAGAAAAGGAAACTGAGGCGTAGAAAGGCGAAGTAACCTACTGATCACAAAGTTAGCAAGTAGGCAATCTAGACTTAAGGCCTGTATGATATCAGCCCTTCATTTCCACTCCACCATGGTGTGGCAAAAGCAAAAGGCATCTCCTCCCACTTTATTCCTGGTAGCTGGCTCTGCCAGGTATTGGGAGACTATATGGTTCTATTATCCTTCTATAGGAGGTGGGGTCTAGAAGTTCTAGGTGTTATTTATTCCAAGCTTAGTTAATGAGCTTCTTACATATCCAGCTTCTTCTGTTCATAAGTTTTACAATGAAAAGTCATCTTGTGCATGCAAGGCTATCTGAGCAGAGGGGGGGAAAATCAAATATACCCAATAATTTGCAAGTAGTCTTGAATTACTGAAAGTTAGTGTCTTGGCCTTCTGAAGTTCACCAAGTGCAGAAAAACTGTATAACATGAATGTCACAGTGCTCATGCCCAGCTCTGTAAAATGCAGAAAATGTACCTTCAACTATTAATGTATTCAAGAGAGAGCAATCTATTATTGTCTTATTGTAAAGACAAAAAGCACTGCCAAACACACTCATAGGCAACTCAGAAGGTTTCTGAACGTTTTTATATTAAAATAAAATGTTTTCCCAACACCATTAAATGGTCTATTTAAATATTAACTATAATGGAGGAACCTCAGGAAAAAAACCACAAGCAAAGCAACTTTTACCAGGACCATGCACTCAGGGACTAAGTCTCTGCAGGATGGCTTACACTGCATGTAAAATATGTACAGCCATTTCTCAAGAAAGGCAGCTGGACACCACATCTTGACCTCTTAAATGTCTCTTTCCTTCTGGTCTCAAAAGAAACTCCACCTCAAGAAATGGACCCCATGAAAATAAAAGTGCACCCTACAAACTACTCCCCCTCCCCCACCATCTGCTGGGTGACTGAGAAAGCCGTCTATTTAGCTATTTTCCCTTTGACCACAGGTCCCTTAACACAATATATTTAAAAAGCAATGGACTAAACCAGCTATTTGATTTTGAATAACATCTATGAACTCTTCTGAAAACTGATAATCTGAGATTCCATCTAAGGGAAACTCCCCTAAGGGTAAGATACTCAGAAAACATTATTTCCAAAGGAACCTGACCACTGCAGGAAATCATATCAAGAGGGATTACAGTTCTGCCCACGGGTACTCCAAATACCCAAATACTGTAGAGCAATTTGCTGCCATTAGTAAGGTAATATCACTGAACAACTGCAAATACATTACGAAGCAGTAAAATAACAACTAGTTCCACATGCATACTTCTGCCAAATCTCTACTACAGTCTTCATCTAATTTAATCCTCAGAAAAACCCAGTGGATATCTCCATTGTACATATGAGAAACTGAAATTCGGAAAAGTATTCCCCTTTGGTACTCCCCTAATGCCCCAAGCATCTCTCTATCATTGTATTTCTCAGACCACATTATAATTATAATTTTCTGTTTATATATCTGTCTCCTCCCTTAGCAGGGCTCTTTGAAAACATGAATGGTTTTTTTCTTATTTAATTTTATGTCTCATGAGTCCAAAACAATGACTAGGTTCAGTATACTAATTATAAATATCTGCTAAATAAATGACTAAAATGACTAATTAAGTAATTTGTGCAGCCCTGGTCAGTGTGGCTCAGATTGCTGGAGCATTGTCCTGCACCAGAAGGTTATGGGTTTGATTCCTGGTCAGGGCACATATCTAAGTTGCAGGTTCAATCCTTGATCTGGGCATGTATCAGAAGCAACTAGTCAATGTTTCTCTCTCCCTTTCTCTCTCTCTAAAATCAGTGAAGAAAAAAATGTCCTTGGGTGAGGATGAAAAATTTGTACAAGGTCACCAAGTTAAGTGGAGAGACTGATATTCTAAGTCACATCTTCTAATTTCAATGCTCAAGCTACACTTGCACTATACCATACTACTTACCAATAAACAAGAAATTCCAGGACAAATGATCCTATACAGAGATCCCAAGGACAAGAGTACATACCCATTATACTATCTTTGTGTACATAAAATGTACAAATTCTATCTTTCTAATTAGTGACTTATATAACTAGGAAGTGATTACTCAACGACTTAAACACTGCAGTATCTCCAATTTCTTTTAATGAAAACTTCTAAGACTACAGACATCCACGGATATCAGCAAACAGCAATCCAAAAGGAGGACATTCAATGTGAGAAAGACCATACGATTCCATTTGATGTGCGTGCAGTGCTGCAGGCGTATGTACTGTAAATCCTAGTGAGTGTTAATGCCCTTTACCCCAAACAAAGAACAGTCTCCTTTGCAGTCGTGCATGGGTAAAAACCGGGCCCGAAGAACCAAAGGCTCGAAGAGCTTCTTATACACATTGAGATGACTGTGTTAATAACACTCTGTTCCCTCTCTCTCTGTTTAGAAGGTTTTGGTCCCTCATTAGGAAAAGAACCTGCGGCCATTCTGACATTCTCTCGCAGGCTCTGTCCTCAAGTTGCTCTGTGCTGCAGGGAGTGTCATCGTCTTTTCTGTCACCACTGGCATCAGGGAATCTGGGTCTGTCAGTTGTGACAGATCAGATTCCAGGGAACCAAGCAATATGCATGATTCATGAAAGCAGCATTTCTACCCAGTTACCTGCAGTGCAGAAAATAGGGAGGGGTTCTAACTTCAACTGTAAAAACTGTTTTTTAAAAAACCCAGAATATAAAAAGGAATAAGAGAATGAATCCCTTTTAAGGTCCTCAGAATAAAAGAGTATAAACAAATGTAACCCAAACCTTTATTTCCACAGAAATATTAGTTTAATTCTCAGGCTGTTTTCACAATAGATTTTAAAGACTTTAAGTTCTTTTAGAAAAAAAATTCTTGCCCTGGATGGTGTGGCTCAGTGGATTGAGCATCAGACTGTGAACCAAAAGGCTGTTGGTTTGACTCCCGGTCAGGGTACATGCCTGGGTTGTGGGCCAGGTCCCTAATTGGGGACACACAAGAGGCAACCAGTAGATGTTTCTTTCCCCCACCCTCTCTAAAAATAAATAAATAAAATCTTTTTAAAAAGTATTATCTTGTAATTAAATGTTTTATCAGACTCAAATATGAAAAATAAACATTGAGAATTTTCAACAAAAGCATGAATTTGGACTTCCGATCAAGATGGTAGTATAGGAAAACATGGTACTTACCTCTGCCCACAATATACTGAAATTACAACTAAATTAAAGAATAAGCATCATTCAAAACCAACTGAAATCTAGCTGAACAGAAGTCCTACAACTAGCGATTTAAAAAAGAAGCCACGTCGCCATGGCTGATGTAGCTCAATGGATTGAGCACTGGCCTACAAACCACAGGGTTGTTGGTTTGATTCCCAGTCAGGGCACCTGCCTGAGTTACAGGCCAGGCCCCCAGTAGAGGGTGCATGAGAGGCAACCACACACTGATTTCTCTCCCTCTCTTTCTCCCTCCCTTCCACTGTCTACTTAAAAAAATAAAAAATAAAAAATAAACCACATCAAGACAGGTAGGAAGAGTGGAGATGCAGAACAGGCCGCTCCCACACCTACACGTGGCAGATAAAAATCAGGAGGGCTATCTCAGCTGTGGATGTCTCACTTGAGGAGCGAGGGGCCCCAGCCCCACACCAGGCCCCAAGCCCAAGGTTCCAGTGCTGAGAAGAGAATTCCCCCAAACTTCTGGTTGTAAAAATCAGTGGGAATTGAGGCTGAGAGACAGAGGGCTCTGGAATCCCAGGCAGTTCCTCTTAAAGGGCTGGCATACAGACTTATTTTGACTCACTCCCTCTGAGCTCCAGCACTGGGATAGCAGCTCAAAAAGCACAAGGACATACAGAAAAAAACCGAAATGTCAAGCATCAGGGCAGGGGCTGAGGGACAACTTTCTTCCAGACAGAAGTGTTTATAGAGGCCCCTGTTTCTATTCTGAGAATCCTCACCACAGACCTGGCAGGTGGACACCATATCTGGGTTTCCACCAACCTGGCTATCACTGTTTGCCCCACCCTGGTGATTCCCTAAGATTCTGCCACCCAACTTGTGGGCCCACCCAAGCTGTTTTCCAGTGTCTTTTACATACAAATGGCCTGTGTTGGCTCACACTTCAGACTTTCCTAAAATCTCTCAAACAAGCAGCATCTGGCCTCAGAGAGTCCCATACCTCTTGCTAAGTGGTCCCAGGCCCAGCATTAGCAGCAGCCGACCATGATGTGCAGCTTAGCCTCTCCTGGGCACCTTCAAGCCCAGCACAAGTAGCAGGCATCTACAGATGTTTTGTAGCTCAAGCTGAGTGGTCCTTGGCAAAATACCGGGAGTGGATGACCTTGGCTGCACCTCCCTGGAGGCCCCAGAGTCAACACACCAGATAGACAGCTTCAGACCACATCGAAACACTGCCCAACAATCTCCACATCAACACACTCAGGGGGCAGATTCAGTGGGCACCAGAGCACTGCAGAAGTAAGTCCTGCTTTGTGGGGTGGGCCCCTGCCCAGCTGATCCTCCAACAGTGGTTGCAGCCCGTCCTTGCAGGGGACTGGCTTGGGAGTAAATCCCTCTCATTGACAGGTGACCTGCAATCAAGGCTCAACTACAACAGGAGGCTGTACACAGCCTACATGGCGGTGGGGAGAAGGGAGCTTGCAATTGGAGTGCCTAGCTTCAGTGATCAGGGAAGGCTGTGCCACTGTCACCGAACTCTACAGGATACCTACTACATCAGGCCACTCTGCCAAGCCTGGGAGACAGAGCAGCTCTACCTAATACATAGAAAGAAATGCAGGGAGGCTGCTAAAATGAGACAAACATGTCTAAAATGAAAAGAAAAGAACAAAACTCTAGAAAAAGAACTAAACAAAACAGAGACAAGCATCTTCTAGATGCAGAGTTCAAAACACCAGCTATAAGCATGCTCAAAGAACTGAGGGGAAGAGTAGTTGAACTTAAGAGAAAACTTCAACAGCATAAAAAAGAGCATGGAAACCATAAACAAGAACCAATCAGAAATGAAGAATACACAAACTGAAATGAAGACTAATTTACAGGAAATCAACATCAGTTGAGTAGATGAAGCTGAGAATCAAATCAGTGATTTGGGATATTAGGAAACAAGAAATACCTAATCAGAAAGGAAAAAAAATCCAAACAAATGAGGATAGTGTAAGGAGCCTCTGGGACAACTTCAAGCATTCCAACATTCACATCATGGGGGTGTCAGAAGGAGAGAGAGAGCAAGGAATTGAAAACCTGTTTGAAAAAATGACAGAAAACTTCCCTACCTAACCTAGTGAAGGAAGTAGACCAGAGTCCCAAACATGATGAACCCAAAGAGGCCCACACCAAGATATATTATAATTAAAATGCTAAAGGTTAAAGAGAGAATCTTAAAAGCAGCAAGAGAAAGACAGTTACCTACCTACAAGAGAGCTCCCATAAATCATCAGCTGATTTCTCAACAGAAACTTTGCACACTAGATAGAAACTGGCAAGAAATATTTAAAGTGATGAAAAGCAAGGACCTACAACCAACATTACTCTACCCAGCAAAGCTACCATTTAAAATGGAAGGGCAAATAAAGTGCTTCCCAGACAAGAAAAAAACTAGAGAAGTTCATTACCACCAAACCAGTATTACATGAAATGTTAAAGGGTTTTCTTTAAGAAGAAAAAGATTTAAAATATGAACGATAAAATGGCAATAAATACATATCTATCAACAAATGAATCTAAAAAACAAAACAAAATAAATGAACAAGCAGAACAGAAACAGACTCATAGAGAGAATGTTTTGATGGTTGCCAGATGGGGAGGAGGGTTAGAGGGATGGATGAAAAAGGCGAAGCAATTAAGAAGTACAAATTGGTAGTTACAGAATAGTCATGGGGATGTAAAGTGCAGCACAGGAAATATGGTCAACAGTATTCTAAATCACAGGTGGCAAACACAAGGCCCATGGGCCAGATGCGGCCCTCTGCCTCGTTTTATCCCACCCAGCACCTTGTTTCTACCCTGCACCCAGCTCTCACTTAACTGTTTGGGAGTAGTTACATGTATACAGTCCTAAAATCACATTCGGCCCTTTGAAGGCAACCAGGAGGCTGACATGACCCCAGGGGAAAATGAGTTTGACACCCCTGCTCTAATAGCTATGTATGGTGTCAGATGGGTACTAGACTTATCAGGATGATCACTAAGTAAGGTTTTTTTTTCCTATTCTTTTTTTCTTTTTTACAAACTTTCAATAGATGGCAGTGAGGGAGCTGCACTGCTATGTATGAAACCCTGACTCACACAGTAAGTTATATAAATGTCTAATCATTTGGGTGTACACCTGAAACTAATATAATACTGTATGCCAACTGTAACTAAAAAATTAATTTAAAAAATTTTAAAAGTATAAACTTGTAGCATCAGGTTTACAATTAAAGCCAGATATGTGACATTAGGAAAGGTCATACTACAAATAGAGACTTGCTTATTTTATCACACTGCTGTTCTGACTTTGCATTTCTGAACACACCTAAAAATTAGGGCTGAAAGTTAGTTATCTCATAATATGTTAGGCCTGTCCAAAAAAAGTGCAGCCATTGTTAATATAACAAAAACGATTTGTGCAATGTCGATGTAATCTGGCAGCCAAGGAGAGTGGACTGGAATGCACATGTGTGAGCAATGATGATTATCACCTTTTGAGTCAGTGGGGGCGGTAGAAGGCGTTGAGTGAGCATGTGTACTGTGCAGCTGTTGCATTCAAAATGACTAAGTGAGTAGAGCAATGAATGTGCAACAAATTTTGCATTAAGTTTAAATGTTCCCCTGTGGAAACTATTGGGTGATTCAGAAGGCGGCAGCTATGGGCAACTGGTGATTGGCAGCTTTATCATGACAACATGCCTGCTCATGCATCATGTCTCATGCAGAGTTTTTCAGCAAAACATCAAATCACCCAGATGACTCAGCCCCACTACAGCCCAGACTTGGCACCCTGCAACTTCTGGATTTTCCAAAAACTAAAAATCACTTGTGAAACAAAAGAGATCAGACGATCGATGAGATTCAGGAAAATATAACAGGGCAGCTGATGGAGATTGGGAGAACTGTGTGAGGCTCCAAGATGCTTACTTTGAAGGGGAATGTGGTGTCACTGTCCTATGTACAATGTCTCTTGTGTCTTCTTTAGTAAATGTCTCTATTTTTCATATTACGTGGCTGGATATCTTCTGAACAGACCTTGTAAATACAGTGACTATTTCCAAGACTATTCATCTCTATTACTTATCGGTATATAATAAAAATACCCCAAATTTAGAGGCAAATCTATGTTTAAATTCTAACTCTACCATTACCAGCAGTTTGAATTTGAATTACTTAAACATCTTAAGCCTCAAATTCCCCATCTGTAATAGAAATAATAAAGCGTATTAAAGTACTCATGAAACACTATGTTAATTTTAGAAACAATGCTGAACTTAACTGTAAGAATCCTCTCTGAGGTAAGTGTCCCAAAAGATAGTACCCCATCATCTAAACCTTTTCAGTCAAGGTCAGTGTGACATCAGACAGAGGACTACCAATATAGAGAAAACACTGAGAAAAATTAGAGAGAATATTCACCTCCTTATCTGCCATTATTATTCTTACTTCATCCAGGGACTCTCTGCTACCTGGAGAAACTTCTCTTTCAAGGTCAAAAGTTTCAGGGGAACTTAGCTGTGTCTCTGTAATTAAAAAAATATAAATCTCATTAATTTTCATTTTGTATTTTCACTGTTGAAAAAACAAACACCTGCCTTGGCTGGTGTGGCTCAGTGGACTGAGTGCTTGCTGCTTTGTGAGCCAAAAGGTTCGATTCCCGATCGGGGCACATGCCTGAGTTGTGGGCCACATCCCCAGTTCGGGGCATCAGAGAGGAAACCACACAATGAAGTATCTATACCTCTCTTTCTCCCTACCTTCCCATCTCCCTAAAAATAAATAAAATATTTTAAAAATTTGTTTTAAAAAGCCACACCTATCTCCCCTAAAGTTTAGGGTATGATAATACGGTGGTAGCCATATCGATCCCGCTTGTTTCTTTTTAAAACTTTACTGACACATAATTTATGTACAGAATTCACCCATTTTCAGCATATAATTTTATGAGTTTTGACAAATTCATACAACTTAGACATGTATCATTTATACCATGTAATTAACTACCACAATCAAGATATAAAATATTTTAACACCCCCAAAAGTTCTCCCTTTCTAGCAACCCAAAAGGGTGCCCTTTGTGGTCAATCCCCTCCCTCTTGGCTCCTTGCACTGACCAATCTACTTTATGCTGCTATAGCTCTGCTTTTTCTATAATGTCATCTGGTGTGTCATCCTCCGTGTCTGACCTCTTTCATTTAGCATGTGTCTGAGAGGCATCCCCAAGGTCACATGTGTCAGTAGTTCATCCCTTTTTACTGCTGAGTAGTATTCCTCTATGTGGGTATATCCATTTGTTTATCCACTCATCAACTGATCCACTTGGCTTTTAGTTTTAAAGTATATTTATTTTGACAGAAAACAAAAGCCTGACAATGTTGGTTCTGAGGTCAAAGGGATGATTAGGGATGACAAAAATTTGGAAGCAGAAATAGGAAATACATTCTCAACAAGGATATGCCTTTCTTTAATACATTCTTTAAGCAGCATCTATTCATTCATCATTATTCAATAAGCTCCAGGCACTTTACAGACTACTAGAAATATGGAGATGAAAGATGTCACAGTTCAGGGGTAGGCATTCTATACAGCTCATGGGCCAGACTCAGCCAGCTGCCTGGTTTTGTTAATACATTTTTATTGGAACATAGCCACACTCATTCTTCCTTGTGTTGTCTACAGTTGCTTACGTGCTAAAATGGCAAAGCTCAGTAGTTTCAACAGAGACTATATGGCCCACAGTGCCAAAATATTTACTATTTAGCCTTTTATAGAAAAGTCTGCCAAACTCTGGTCTAAACCCCTATCTCTTAATTTAACAAAAGAACGGTTAACTATATTTCAAAGAAGGACAATAAATCTGGAGAAGAAATTTGTTTCAGAACACAATTCCAGTAAGTCCTCTGTTATTTACACTGTACACACTATACATCTACCTGGTACTTCTGTGCTTCTCAAATACAACGAATGGTCAATAATGGGCAAATAAAGTACCTGTCAGATACTGAGGTATCTCCTCAATCATCAGAGAAGGATTAAATACATTTCTAGTGTTAAATATATTTTAATAAGACATAATTTTTGAAGACGATATATACACACACAATTTTACCACTTTATTGGAAAAAGGATTACAGTGCATAAACTTCAAAATCTTTGTCAAGATTCCGAGAAATATTAATTACCAAAAGAGACACTGAGTCTATCAAAAATAACAGCTGCTCACTGCTTGCTCTACTGTAACAATAAAAAGACTCTAATTAAGCTTTCTGTAAAGGGTGGAATGCCCAAATGTAAAGACAACTTAAAAGGGCATTAGCCCCTTAGAAATAAACAATGCTGGTATCATATACAAAGTGGACATATTGGTAAAATCCTGCTTCTTCAATGAAGTAACTAACTCTAAAAGGATGCTATAATTTTGAGTATCAGGCCCCTGGAACTGTCAAAAATATGTAAAATAAAATAGGTAAGATGAACTACTACATGAAGTCTGTGTTTCACTCGTTTAGAACAAAGTTTTCAGACAATTCAAATGCACAGCTTTTAAATTACATATTGAGGGGAACTATATATTTAGAGACTCAGGAGTCTGGCTCCACGAAGAAGGAGTTTTACTTTCGCAACAGGTTATGAAAACCTTCTGCAATCTCACTTAGAAGTGGTTGTGTCAGCAAACCGTTGGACTTAATTAGCAGGCTAATGTGAACAAGTCATGATCTAAAAGTTATCTAACCTCAGTCACAAAGGGCTTGCTTTTCCCTCTCTCCATAACCAGGGTTTTAAAGATGATTGTATTTGCAGGTTCCTCCAGCGAGATCCCAGGGTGCTATCACATCCCTCATCCTAAACAGGCAGACTGAGTGACTCTGGGCAGAATGGCCTAAGTCAGAAGCCCCACACAGAGGGGCAAAGCTTTCTTCTCACCAAGACAGCACAGCATTCCTGCGCGTTCCTGCCAAAACTGGGGCACTTGATAGTGGGGTCACTGGACAGGCAGTAGTCCAGACAAATGCATTTCGAGTGAATTAAGAAATCGCTTTCAATAAGCACCAACACAGTTAAATTTTAAAATGAGTAAAGAAAGACCTTAATGATATGCTGTCAAATGTTTTAAGATATTTACAGGACTTAACAGTTTTCTTATTTTGACTTCTTTCAAGTTTTCTCCATAGAAACTCAAACTTATTTTATACTAGTCTCTCTGACCATAACAGGTTATATATGACCTAGGAGAAAACTAGATATGATTAATGGTAATATTTGTACAATGCCCAAGAGTTTAAACATTGATAGGAAGTCCCTCAGTCTCACAGGAATGAGGTTACTAATAAATATAATGGGTTCCACTTTTAAGAAAAGCCAAAAAAAATACAATCTAAAACAAATTGCTAAGAAAGTAATGGTTCATGTCACAAAGCAATCCCTCACTGTACAGAATGATTCAACCCAAGAGTTCTCTTAGATCATAGGTATCTTAGTTCATCTAAAATTATTTGTATATCAAAATCTATGCAAGTACATCTTTGAATGAACAGTTCTTGTATCTAAAGGTACACATCTTTTCATCTCTACAAAGAACAAAAAGTAAAGTACAAAACTTAACCAGGTTAAGTATCTTGTCTGAGATTAAAGTATAAGTCAAAAACAGAACTGTGCACAAAATGCAATTTCTTGACTCCCTATGCAGTAAGATCTTGTGAATGGCAATGTAAAACTAACTAGTGAAAGCCTCTGAGAAAAATCTGCTCAATGTCAGGCAGATTTAAGGACAGCCCAAACTTGAGAATTGATAAACCAAAACATAAAGTCCTCTTGGCTCTGAACGTACAATTAAGTGCTATTCCTGATGCTTTGCTGCCATCTCTGATGAGGTTGGTCGCAAACAAGACAAGGAGCTATGTCAATTTCAAAACTCAAATATCTCTAATAGAAAAGGTTGAGAATCATAGCCAATGTCCATTCATAAAAAGTGTGTGTGTGGGGGTATACATATGTACATGTGTGGTGATACACACACACACACACACACGTACACAAATAAAACTCCCTGGGAGTGGGATGGAAAAGTCAGATAAATTAATAGGCACAAAGATAGCTAGGGATCAGAAATTCAGTAAAATCACAGCAGGATGCTTACCAGGACACACAGTGATTTCCTCTGCAGAACTCTCCGGCATAAGGACTAAGTTTCTCTTACTGGCCAAAGCAGCAATGCTGAAAAAGAACCAAACCCCACATGAATTCCCAGGTAAATAAATCAGAACATAGCACCTACAGCAATGGTGAGTCATTCTCAGTGCCAAAGGTAATCTGATACCTGCTGTCCACTACCTCAAAAGCTCAACAGGGAAGCAAGGAATCAGTAGTGAAAACTCCAGACCAGAAACATGGGAAATAAACATGCTTACAACTCTGGTTCCAATGAAACCACAGAATGAAAAGAACCCCCTTTTGGAGTGTTCACAAAGGAAGGTTGAAGGGTAAGCACGATCTATGAATATCACAGAAGACAAAAACTCCATTCCAGTGCAAAGATGTCAAAGGTGTTTCAGACCCCATTTCAGCCTTCTGAAGACTAGAGATCTGGAAACGGGTAAGACAAAAATACGGAGATTCTCCTGACAACACACTAGCTTCTCTCGCACCTTGCAGTTAAATTCCTTCTTTTCCTCAAGATGTGGCTTTGTAAGCGACAAAAATAAGACACAATTCCAAACTGCCCTAGAGCAAAAATCTGCCCATAGAAACTGATTATTTCTTCTGAGAAAAACACAATTATGAATGGCTCCCCTCATCTGACCTCCTGGTTAACCCTTTCTGTCCATGGAGTACAATCTCTTCCAGACATGGGGACTGACAGATCGGAGCATCTGACCCCCCTCCTGCCCCCCCCCCCACTTCACAGAGCTTTACAACTAGTTTAATAGGGTATGTAAAAGGATACACATCCTCACATCAACCAAGAACCACAGAGAAGAAGAAATAACCACCACTGATTCATGATAAATAACTAAATCCTAATGGGAAACCACAAGTGATTTCTCTGTCTAAATAAAACATTTCATAGCATTTGTTATAAACCCAAGCCAGACACAGTTTACTATGCATGTAACATTAGGGCTCTATTCAAAGGGTCCATCACAAAACAATTTGCTGACATTTATAAAATGGGCTAATCAATTTGAAGTCAAACCACACTGCCTGCAATTCCAGCTCTCTCCTGGTGACAAAGCATATAATCATTTATTAAAACCTTCATCTGTGCTGCATAAGGCTCACTACGATAAAGCAGAAGGCCTACTCCAGTAAAACCACTTCCAAAACGTCTTAACAGCAAGAGACTCGAACCAAAGCCATATTCTTTAGCTCAGGTAGAAATACCTAGTACTATTAACCAAAACCTAAGAACACCAACACTAAATTACAGCAAAAGGCAACTGGGCCTCAACTTCCATATGGAAGGTGAAGGTCACTCAGCACAAGATTAGGCTTTGACTAATCCCCGAAGGTCAACTACGGATAAAGGGAAAAGTAACTGAAAGCTTGATCCAGTTAATATTACAGTTTATAACCAATCAACTACTACATATTAAAGTGAGAAGACCTAAGAAAGTAACCCCATTAATCAGTCAGTGAGAATAATTAAGGAGGTAATACAAGTATTAGCATTTAAGGAAAAGATGAGATACAAACGAATGAAGTGGCAGAAGACAGGGAGCGAGAGTGGTACAGGTTCCATGTGGCCTGAATAATATGATGGCTTCAAAAGAAGAGGAAAGTCTTAAGGGCAGACTTAAAAGATGTATATGGTTTAGACTTGCAGACAAAATAAGCATAAGCAGAGGGAACAATGGGGATAGGAGGACTAGAAGATCATAAAGAAATCAGTTTACAGCCTTTACATTCATTGGCTTAGGAAACTCGAGTATTTGCTTAAGAGAATAGCAGGATGTAACCACTTTTCAGAAAGTGTAAATGGGATTTGTACTAGATAGCTGGATTGGACAAGATAAACCAAGGTTTCTTTCACCCAGATATTCTCGGCTTCTATATGATGCATATATAAGAACTGGGAGATAATCATATCTCCTAGTCTGTAATTATAAAAGAGCTACAAAGGTCCCCAGCAAGCTGTCCCCCCAGGCTCACTCAGGTGGTTCACCTCTTACTCTGGCACCATCGGAGGGGAATTCAGACCCCTAACAACATGTAATCTTACCTTTGTGAGGCAGGTACAGAGTTTCCTTCTTCAGAAGTTTCCTCAGCAAATAGCCCTTGGGAAGACTACAAAGAAATACATAACATCTATTAATATACAAGCACAGAAGAACTAGTTTCTCTTTCTTTAAAAAAAAATTAATTGTTCAACATTACCACTCAGCAGATAGCAATAAGAATAACATTTTATATTGTCAATAAGCCTCAGTAAAAAGACTGAGATTTAAATCACAGGTGAATCTTCTATAAACTCTGTAATCTTGGTTAAGTCACATCTGAATTTGTCTCCTCATCTTAAAATGGGTATTAATAATTGCCTCAAAGAATGCTGTGAAAATTAAACCAGGTAAGATATGCGATGCACTTCATGAATGTAAGATATAAATATTAATTAGTGAATCAAATGAATTATGATTTCAGAAAAGCAGTTATAAAGCTTTTGTTGTGGGAGGAAGAGAAAAAGTTCAGTTTTCAGTGGAAATACTAAGTTGGGAAAAACATTGTAATCCATGAAAGATGTCTCTCTGCACACAACTGAGTCGTAACACAAAACACTCCAAAAAGAAGGTTATAAAGATTTCTTTTACTCGCCCTGGCCAGGTAGCTCAGTTAATTAGAGCACTGTCCCACACTTCAAAAGGTTGTGGGTTCAATCCCTGGTCAGGGCACGAATGAGAGGCAACTGATTAATTTTCTCTTTCTCTCTTCCTCTCCCTCTAAAAATCAATAAAAACATGTCCTCAGGTGAGGTTTGGAAAAACAAGATTCCTTTTACTAGAAATCTGCTATCATGTTTTTGAATTCTGGGAAATTTTTTAAGAAACATAATAGGAACTAGGTAAGGAAAAGACTATTTTCTTTGATTAACAGCAAAGTTGTGCAATGTCAACTCATTAAATAAAGGTACACAAAAAAAGCACAGAAAAAGCAGCTATTGCTGACTTAGGTGGATTCTAAGGAAGTGCCTGGGCTATTATAAGGCTTCTTCCAATAGCTGTAAAGCTACTGGCTAAAGTTCACAGGGTCTCCTAGCAGGGCATAAATACCCTAAGCAAGTTAGGCATCTCTCCACCACTCAGGTAAACGATGAAATATACTAAAAAACAGGAATTCCTTCAGTCAAAGGGAAGATAAAGCTCTACAATCATCAGGAATGCAGCCATTATCAAAATAAGAGTTGGGTCCTGACTGGTGTGGCTCAGGGGGTTGAGCGTCATCCCACAGACCAAAGGGTCACTGGTTTGATTCCCTAGGCAGTCCACATGCCTGAGTTGCAGGCCAGGTCCCTGGTCTGGGGCTTGTGAGAGACAGCCGATTGATGTCTCTCTTGCACAATGATGTTTCTCTCCCTCCCTTCTCCTCTAAGAATAAATAAATAAAATCCTTTTTTTAAAAAAAGCAAAAATAAGGGTTAGACAAAACTGCCAAAAGTACTAAAATACAATTACAATAAAATACTTCACCTATTAGTCTGAACTCAGTAGTGAGAAACCTTTCATTCTTGAAATATCAAAAAAGGTAAATACTGACACCTAGTGTCCATTTAATAGAATTTTACCTTCTTAGAATGACTTGTTGACTAAGCCTTAGGCTTGAGAAGCAATCGAAAGGCAGTAAGCCACAAGATACCTCCATCTCTACCTCAGGAAAAAGTGTATCTACCTTTCTCAGAGTAAGTTTTTAAAAAAAGATTACTGTGTACCTATTATATGCCAGGCCTATGATAATCACTTACATGCATTATCTCCTTTAATTGAGGAAAATGATTAAATTATTTTAGAAATGAGGAAAACGAAAAGTTTGACAGGTTAAATAATTTGCCCAAAACCAGACTTGGTCAAAGTGGAACTGGGACCTAACTCCCAAATCCATGCTCTAACCACTACTGTTATGCTGTTTACTCAAACGATTGTCTTCCCAACTATTTTAACACATCGCAAGAATGTCTTCATTTCTTTTTTCTTTAAAGGTTTTATTTATTTATTTTTAGAGAGGGGGAAGGGAAAGAGAGAAGGAGAGAAACATCAATGTGTGGTTGCCTCTTGTTCATCCCCTACTGGGGACCTGGCCCGCAACCCAGGCATGTGCCCTGCTGACTGGGAATCGAACCTGAGACCCTTTGGTTCACAGGCCATCACTCAATCCACTGAGCCACACCAGCCAGGGCGTCATTTCAATAAATCATTTGTAATTTCTAAACTTATACCTCAATAACAGTAATCTGAAGATGGGGTAAAGTGAGATTCCTCCAGAATAGGAAAATAACATAGTAAAACAGCAAACAAAATTCTATCTGAATACAGGAATTTAATCGAGGTGGACAGGGAAGCACCACAGGAATGTGACTTTAACTAAGGGAACAGTGGCCTAATCAAGACACAGCACTCTGCCTGAAGAAATATGTTAACAAGAACGTGAGAGTTTACAAAAAGAGCTAAAAAAAAAAAGGGCGGGGGAGATCCAGAATCAAGCAGTGTCTTCAACATCATGGCCTGGGAAGCAGAAGTGAACAGACACATCATCTGGTCACCATCAAAATGTCCTCAGATGTCAGGCACTGGTAGCTTATCAAGTCTTTCAATGGACAAGTTGAACCACGCCTTAAAATTTCCATTTTTCTGATTATTATATCAGCTTTCCAGACCCCTCATCCTAGGAGGAGATAACAGGAGATAACAGACTGGAGTATTCCCATCACCACGAATGTCTCTCTTAGACAATAAATTAACAAACTGTCACTTAGTGTACAAGTTGGCCTGAAGTTTGGCTAATCAAAGTCAGTCCCCACACCCCCCACACAATTTGATGGTTTCTGGGAAACAAATTCCAGTATATGAACTAAAAAAAGTAAAGATCAGACACTGAAAATTAAGACAACATTAATATACTACCCCTCCACTTCCTTGCTGTATAGTCATCAAAACAAACTCTCCATCTTCATTAACAATTTCCTTATTATTTCAGTGATGCCAGAAACCAGTTATCACCCGATTCTAAAGCTTTTATAATCTTTATGTAAGCAATCTGCCCCAGAGTGAATGTTTTTGAGTCATTATTTCTAGAACAGTCTTGTTTACCAACCAACTTGTCTCAAATGGGGGCAACTTCATCAAAGCCAAAATCAACAAAACATATTTAACAAAATCATAAACTCTTTCTACCCACAGTGCCTAAAGACCAAAACAGAAGGTAAAATTATAATCATAACTCTTTCATTATTTGCCTACACAATTAGCAAGTTCATTGCTATAGGTCTGTTAAAGATTCTGTTCTACATGGGCAAGGCTGCAGTGAAGGAGGTATTCCCATGCACTGCTGGAAGGAAGGAGTACAAATCTGAGTGACATTTCTGAAAAGCAATCTGACAATAAATAGCAAATCTTTTCTTATGTTCATAACTCTTTAACCCAGCATTTTCCTCATTCTCTATCCCTAACACTGCTTTTAAATAAAGAAAAGTTTTCGGAAAGATGTTTATCACAGACAAAACATCTGGCATTAGAAAAATAGTTAAAATATTACAGTAAATTCCTAAGCCAGAAAATTAGTCATTAAAAATGAAATCTATTTTATCATATGAAAATGTTTACATATTAACTTTAAAATACAAAAATATAATTTAAACCATATAAAAAAAGGTCTAAAAAAAGAACAAGGAATATATCACTAGATGGTAGGATTGTGTATGCTTCCAACTTTATTCTTCAAACTTTTCAACATTTTTCAATAGTTCTAAGTGACCTGTAAAATTAATATTAATGACCACCCTAGATATTAACCAGGCTGTCTGCCCAGTCTCCTGTTACTGATGACTGCCCCTCAGCGCCCCCACTGTACTACAGCATCACAGCCATTTGTACAACATGACACATGCCCGCTGCAGGCCTCCGCCAGCTGAGGGCTATTAACCTCAAACAGGCCTTACGTTCCTTTTCTAGAAATCTGACATTGAACTGGGAGAGAGTAAATCTCCTATAACCTGTACTTAAGTTTGAGGGCTGTGGGATCAGCATCTTCCACCGAACACGTGAAACAGAAGCACAGGGAGACAGTCTGCAGGAGTGAAAATAAAGCAGATACAATACAGCGCTAAGACCTAATTGCAAATGATTTTCTAAACTCGGTACCTTCTCTGGGGTTGGTTACCATTCTGTTTTAGAATTTATGAGGCACCAGGTTTCCTTATGATAAAGTCCTCTTTTTAATTAAGACAGCTTGATTTGAACTGTTGTAGCCAAATAGTTTGAATTAATACTATTTGTAGCACTTTATAGCCTGTTCATGAAATAAAAGATCTTCAATCTAATAAGGCCAGCCACTAGGGTCTGACCACACCCATACTATTCCAAAGGCGTTGCCTTCAAACTTCAGAATTTGACAAGCCTATGCTCTGTAACACTGGCCCCAGGAATCTTTTAAGCTAACAACTTAAATTACAGTAAATCACTGTGGAGTTAATTTATTCTTTTATGGGAAAGCATCTATAAATTGCAAAACACTAAGAAATGAAATGTTATCATAAGCATAACTTTCCATTTGCAAAAAAGGCAAGTCACTAGAAGTACTCTTAAGAAAAATGCCTTCCAGCCCTGGCTGTTGTGGCTCACTGGGTTGAGTGCCAGCCAGCCTGAGAACCAAAGGGTCACTGGTTGGATTCCAGGTCAGGGCACAGGCCTTGGTTATAGGCCAGGTCCCCAGTAGGGGGCGTGTGAGAGGTAACTACTCACTGATGTTTCTCTCCCTCTCTTTCTCCCTTCCTTTCCCTCTCTAAAAATAAGTAAATAAAACCTTTAAAATTTTTTAATAAAAAGAAAAGAAAAATACCTTCTCTTCACATACAGCAATCTTCCCATAATGTGAATAAAGAGGATGCCAGAGGAGAATGATCCCTAAAGGTACCCTACACAGAGCTACCATTTACTGAGTGTCTTAAGCATTAGACTAGGCATTTTATACAATTCACTTTAACACTTAAAACTACGTGACTGGCTATTACCATTTTACAGATGTAAAAAACCAAGACTCAGGAGGTTAAATGGTTTCTTCAGAAGGCATACAGTTATTACTAAAACAAAAAAGTCAAAATTCATACTTCAAATCCACACTCTCTACATTATGCTATGAAATTTCTCATCATTATTATTTCCTAACCCCTTATCAAAACAGACAGAACAAATAGGATTAACAGCAAAACAATACCAAAAATAGAAATAGCAACAAAAAAGTGTTATAAAACAGAATACTCTTTCTATTTACAGTTTATAAAGAGTTTGAAATTATATGGTTGCTTTTATAACACTCAGAAAAAACTGACTATAAACTCTTTTCTTTCAGCTTTTTAAAAAAACTCATATATGATACAATCTAGCTATGTCAGAACAAATACAAGGAACTGTTTCCAGTAAATTATAGAAAATTACCACAAGCAAAATTGGAAATAGGCTATTATGTGAGGGGGAAAATAAACAGGAAAACTATCTGTACTTCCCATCGCAAAAGCGCACTTCCCCTTATACATGAAGAATGCCTACAAACCACTAAGAAAAAGATTGTCAAAAAGAAAAATGCCCATAAGATCTAAACACAGAAAAGGAAATACAAATAAATATCAACCACACATATAACAAGAAAAATGCAAATGAAAGATTATATTGAGAAAAAATAAAAGACTTTACTGAGGTATTTTTTTTTTCTCTCAGATTAACAAAGATCAAGAGGTCCTGATAATGCTGCACTGGGAAAGCGTGCACTCAGACTCTGCAGTGAGTGTAAATTTATACAACCTGCACCGAAGGCAATTTGACAATAGCTAATAAAACTGTAAGTGCATATACATATTCTGATCCACCAATTACATCTACAACAAATTATTCTACAAATATCTCCCAAGTGAATGAAATATCTTGTGTACAAGAATAATCACTGCAGTAGTGATTACAATAGTAAAATATTGGAAATAGCCTAAATGTCCACCAACAGAAGCACTGGATAAAATAAAACTCATCACACATGATATGCTACACACCCCACACACACACATATCAAAAGAGAGAGAAAATTTTCATATACTGTTAACAATGATCTCACAGAGACAGTAAATGAACAAAGCGCAGAATAATGTGCAGAGCATGCCATGATCTGTGAAAAAGCAGCTGCCTGTACTACATAAAGTGCCTTGGAAGGATGCACTAGAAAACTAGACAGAAAGGCTGACTCCAGGGAGGAGCACTGGTTGGCCAGGAATGGGGTAGGAGACATGTTTTATTCACATCTTTTTTGAATGCTGTGCCATGTGAACATTATTACCCATTCAAAAACTTAACTTTTAAAAAATAATAAAAAATTTTAAACACGAAAATAAATTATGGTACAGTCATATGACACGATGTTTTCAAATATAGTTAAATAAATCAGAAAAGATCAAGATAAACTATCAAGTGAGGGAAAGGAACAAAGTTTTCATAGAAGAGTTTTCATTTTGCTGAAAAAGTAAACAAAAAAATTTTTAAAGAATTATTTATTTATTTATTTTTAGAGAAGGGGTGGGAGAGAGAGGGAGAGAAACATCAACATGTGGCTACCTTCTCAAGTGCCCCCAGTCAGGGACCCGGCCCACAAACCAGGCATGTGCCCTGACTGGGAATCAATCCAGCAATCCCTTGGTTCACAGGCAGATGTTCAATCTACTGAGCCACACCAGCCAAGGCAAAAATAAAATTTTTAAAGATTTTATTTATTTATCTTAAACGGGGGGAAGAGAAGAAGAAAGGGAGAGAAACATCAATATGTGGTTACCTCTCATAAACCCCCGACAGGGGACCTGACCTGTTCCACAACCCAGGCGTGTGCCCTGACTGGGAATCAAACCAGCGACCCTTTGGTTCACAGGCCGGAGTTCAATCCACTAAGCCACACCAGCCAGGCAAGAAAAAGAATTTTTATGCACAGAAATAATGATTGCCTCTCTCGGTGCTGGGATTATGGGTAATTTTTTTCTCCTTTATACTCTTTTCTCCTTTCCTAATTCTCCATAGTGGGCATGTGTTTTGTTCAAAATAAGGGAGAAAATGCCACAAAAAGAATGGCTAAAATCTTAGTTTAACCTGTAAATAAATCATCTTTAATTACAGCATCACTGACACTTACCTCATGACTGGTTGTTGGCTCTTCCTTTGACAGAAGTTTCTCTTTTAAGCTTTTAATTGGGCTTTCCTGGAAATTCTTGGGTTTTGAGTGCCAGACAGATGCCCTAGACTCCTGCCTCTCTTCCTCTTTGTCTTCATCTCCCGTATCTTCTGAGATGCCTTCATTTTTTTCATTTTCACTAGCCTGATCGCCTTGGCCACAGTCATTCTGGATCAGAGAAGGAGGTCTAGGTAACACTGGTTCGCCGAATCCTTTTTTTTTTAAGAGCTGCCTCTGAGCCATTTTCAGGCTCTTTTGATAAACCTCCAACTGGCAGAGAATGACCTTGGTATACTGGTTAGGGTCTATTCCAGCTGGGCAAAATGGAATACCCCAGAAGTAGTGCACAGTGCCCCCCCTGTTCTGGAGACCTTGGGCATCTGCCGAGGCAGGCAGACAGTGCCTAGATGTGTCCCCCCTGCCCTGGGCAGCTTCGTGAAAATCACATCCCCTCCCAGTACTTCCCTGTGGCTTCCCACACTGTGTGTGCTCAGCCAAGTGGCCAGTGCATCTGTCAAAACATTTAACGTTCTCTTTCTCAACTACTGGCTGGCTTGACTGGTCCCAGCTTCCTGAGCTGCCAGAGACCGGCTCCTCTTCAGTGTTTTCAGTGTGGTCCCAAGGCTCCTCTCTTTCCTCAGCCTCGTTTCCCTGACTGATATGTGAGCCTTTAAACAGTGATGGAGGTACCAGCTGCCATATGCCTGTAGGTATTTGAGAAAAAGTAGGGCTAAGGACAAACTGATTTTGTTAAGAGGGCTTGGTAAGTTCTCACTTACCAAGAATTACAAAATGTGGGTAAAAAAGGCTCTTCTTTGGGTTTAACCAAATGTTGGCTTTTCCTTGGAGATAAAAGTATGCTGGATATTAGTGAGATCTCAACTACTTTCTGATTTAACCTCTTTAATATCACCAAAGAAATCTGGGGAATTTCTTTATATCTACTCTCAGCGTGAGATCCCTGTGATGTGGTTATACTTGATGAGTACAAGGAATCAGAACAGGGAGACATGCCTTCAGTGGTCCCAGAGTCTGCAGTTTTCACTTGGTGGGACTGTGAAGATGGTTCAGTGGCCAAAGGTCCAGATCTGGTAGCAGAAGCATCAGAAGGCTGGTAACTCTGAAACAAGTGATCCCACACCAGACCAGGTGTATTATTACAACAGCTAGATATAAAGGTCACAGGAAGGACAACGAGGGGAGGCCACTATCCCTAAGAGATTCTCCTCTTTAAAATACAGCTGCTCGATCAAATGAATTCCACAGTGGATAGTACTATGTGCAAAGTTCTGCACTAGATCACTACACTAAAGCCTTTTCTAATATAGAGACGCAAATGGCATAAATGGCTCAGGACCTGCCACTGGCAAATATCCTTCACATTTAAAATAATTTCAGCAACACATATTCAAATCACAATTTAACATTACTTGAAAAAATTCTGACTACCTATTCTTTCTCTCCATAACCCACCTCTGGTTCTCATTCTCTTTGCTCTCTGCACAAAACAGGGGAGATAAGCACCTTATCTTGCCCCTTTTGGTTTCTTGGTAACAGGTAATTCTTTTCAGAAGCTGGCAACTACTACCGTTCTCTTAAACCATGGACTGAACATCTGAGAGGTGCGAGAAAACTCTCATATAAAATTAGCAGAAACACTTCAAATTGGGATCACCAACAACTCAACACAGGCTTTAAAAATTATTGTGGGAAGTATTTTTTGGTTGAAAACCCTATGAACTGCTGCAGCTAGTTCCAATGCAACCACCACACCACAGAAGTAGAAGAGTGCCTGCCAGTCCTCACCACCTCTCTCAACAGAGCTTACTTACACTCAGGCTCTCCTGGATGGCTTTCCTCAGGAGCGCCTCTTCCTCCTCCGCCTGGCTGTTCACCTCCCTGGCCTCCTGCTCACTCATTCTGACAGCCAGAGCAAACTGTTCTTCTTCTGTCATTTCTGTGAAAGGGCAAAGAAAGAGAGGGGAGGGACACCGCAAACACTGAATAAGCATGGAGGCAAGAAACAGAATTGTTTAACTTTTCAAGTGAAGACATAATAAAATTTTATAATCTTATAAGTGAGGAAAGCCCCCAAAGGTAAAGTGTTGGCCAAGATCAGTAGAAGTTATAAGAATCCTGGGCTAATTAGACTGTGCGCTCCTGTGAAGGTAGAGTTTTTACCTATTTTGTTCATGATTGTATCTCCAGCATACAAGGGTGGGCAAGAGTAGGTTTACAGTTGTGAGCATGCAAAATGGTTTATCCTTATATTACTTATTAATTATTGTATTATTTATTATTATTAACCTACTTTTGCCCACCTCTGTATAAAAGGCTGCCTGGTAACTGGCAGATACTCAAATATTTGATGAATGAATAAACAGAGGAAAAGGCTTTCAGGCCTTTTGCTACACATCACACTGCTTTATGCTCAACATTTAAACAGAATAATTTTACTCATCAGAATCCTCTTGGTGGGACTGTTTGTTTAACCAGCAGAAAAGACTATCCCTAGTGACCAGAATGTGATCTCCAAACATCATTTCCTGTTAAAAACAACTGGGATACCTTGACAAAATGGCTGATTCAAAGTCCAGAGCTAGAAATGTTAAGATAAGCTAGAGTATCCGTCATAACTGTGAGCAAGGAATCTATCAGGTACTACTAGGGTCACATCAAAAGAAATTAAAGGCCAACTTAAAAAGGTTCTCACTGCCCAAAACTGAAACAACTGGAACATCAATCAAAATAATGAATGCAATGAATTAAAACACATTAAATATGTTTAAATCTAGGAATTAACAATGCTAATTTTGGACTTCCGCCAAGATGGAGGTATAGGTGGATGTGCCGTACCTTCGCACACAACCAAGTTTAGGGACAACTAAATATTAGCATCAGAAAACACAACCAGAACACGGAAAACTGAACTTTTCGGAAGTCCGCTAACAACAAATTCTTCAGCCCGACCGGTAAGGGGCGAAACCGGCGTCGGGTGAGGAGTTACAAAGGAGGGCTCGGTCGGACCCGGGCGCGGAATCCAGACACGCGAATCCAGACGCGCAGGTTCCAGACGCAGGATTGGACCTGGTGAGCAACCGAGCGACCCACCGGGTGAGCGACTGCGGAGGAGACAGTGGGGAGGCGGTGCAGCGAGTTGACTGCGGTTGCCTGATTGCGCTCGAGCAAGGGAGTGGGCGGTTGGACCAGCTGCGGCGGCGGTAGAGGGCGCCGCCATTTCCCCGCTCTGACCACACCCCCACATACCAGGTCACAACCCAGCGACCTGGGACTCCAAGGCGCCGCTTCTCTCATTTAAAGGGCCAGAACAGACCAAAAATGTCGCAGGAGGACCTCAAAGCCCCAGAGATAAATCTAAACGACGAAGAAATAGCAAAACTCTCAGACGCACAGTTTAAAACACTGGTCATCAGCTTCCTCACAGATCTGGTTGATTATAGCCACAAATTAGAGAAACATATGAAGGCTAAATTAAGGGAAATGAATGGAATTCCACAGGAAACCCATAGAGATGAAAAGGAAACTGGGACTCAAATCAATGGTGTGGACCAGAAGGAAGCAAATAATGGCCAAACAGAAAAGAGTCAAGGAGCAAGAATTCAAAGAAATGAGGAGAGTCTTAGGAACCTCCAGGACATCTTTAAACGCTCCAATATCCGAATTATAGGGGTACCAGAAGGGGGGAAAGGCACAACCACCAGTGGAAAAATTATTTGAACAAATAATAAAAGAAAATTTCCCCAATCTGGCAAAGGAAATAGACTTCCAAGAAATCCAAGAAGCCCAGAGAGTACCAAAAAAGTTGGACTCAAGCAGAAACACACCAAGGCATATCATAATTACATTAGCCAAAATTAAAATGAAGGAGAGAATCCTAGAAGCAGCAAGAGCTAAGGGGACAATCACCTACAAAGGAGTCCCCATCAGACTGTCAGCAGATTTCTCAAAAGAGACCTTACAGGCAAGAAGGGGCTGGAAAGAAATATTCCAAGTCATGAAATCTAAAGACCTAAAACCAAGATTGCTCTACCCAGCAAAACTTTCATTTAGAACGGAAGGACAGATAAGGTGCTTCTCAGATAAGACCAAATTCAAGGAGTTCATCATCACCAAGCCCTTATTATATGAAATGTTAAAGGGACTTATCTAAGAAAAAGAAGTTAAAGAAACATGAACAGTGAAAGGACAACAAACTCAGTTATTAACAACCACACCTAAAACGAAAGCAAACTAAAAGGACAGCTAGAGCAGGAGTGGAAACATAGAAATGAAGATCTCAAGGAGGGTTAGCAACAGGGGAGTGGGAGGAGGAGATGGGGGGAGAAGGTACAGAAAACAAGTAGCATAGACAGTAGATAGAAAATAGATGGGGGGGCAAGAATAGTTTGGGAAATATAGAACCTAAAGGACTTGAGACACATGGACATAAACTAAAGGGGGGTAATGGTGGGGTTGGGGGGGCAGGGTGGAGGGGAATGGAGGGGGGGAATAGAACAACTGTAACAGCATAATCAATTCAAAAAAATAAATAAATTTAATTAAAAAAAATGAGACTATCACCATTTTGTATAATGTCTACAGAAAGAATTTTGGCAGTGTCTAACAAGCCACATACATGACTCAGCAATCCCAATTCTAGCAATTTACTCTAAAGACATACTTCCAATTAAGAGAAAGGTAAATATCCACTACATTTTCCACTGGAGCACTGTTTGAATATGTGAAACACAGAATCTACTTAATGACTAACACAGGACATTGCCTGAATAAACTCTGGTACAATACATATAACCGTTAAAAAAGGGATAAGAAAGAAACCCACAGACCAGGAATAAAATAATTTCAAGGATATAATCTTAAATAACAACAAAGTGTATATATAGTGGTCTACATTTTGTGTGATAAGGGTGAAACACCAGAAATATGTATACCTGTTTATTTGGCAAAGAGTGGCACAAAAAGGAGTCAAACACTAAACACCAAGTCAAACACTAAGAGGAGTCAAACACTAAACACTAAACCAAGTGGCTACCTTTAGATGGTTGAGAGCAAAGATAAGAGAGGGAGTGACACTTCTTTGACTGTACCTTTTTGTATGTCTGACTTATAAAATCACATGAATAGTATACATATTTTTAAAAGTAAAATAAAATCAATAAAGATGATGGATCCCTAAATTTGAATCCAAACATTAAAAAATGCACCCAAGTGAATTTGTAATAACTTTTTAAGAATGAAAGTATGACATATCAAAACTTGTGGGATGCACATAATACAATGTTTACAGGGAAATGTAGAGCTATACATGATCACATTAGGAATAAAAAAGTTTAAAATCAGTGATCCAAACCTCCTACTTTAAAAAAAAAAAAAGAGTGAAATTAACCCAAAAGTAGAAAGAAATATAAAAACCAGAAACAAAATAGAAAATGGCATAGAGAAAAAAATTAAACAAAAAATTGGTTCTATGCATAAACTCCTAGAAGAAAACATAGGCAGTAAACTCTCTGACATTTCTCTTAATAATATGTTTTCTGACATACATCCTGGGGCAAGGGGGAAAAAGAAAAAAAACAGATGGGACTACATTAAAGTAAAGTCTTTACTCTGGACTGCAAAGGAAAACAACAAAACAAAAAGACAACCTACTGAATGAGAGAAAGTATCTGTTTGCCAATGACACATCCAATAAGGGGTTAGTATCCAAAATTTATAAAGAACTTATATAACTCAACATTCAAAAACAAACAATCCAATTTAAAAAATAGGCAGAGGACTTGAAGACACTTATCCACAGAGGACATATCTATGGCCAACAGACATATGAAAAGATGTTCAATGTCACAAATCATTACAGAAATGCAAACTGAAACCACAATTGAAACTTCCAGTCAGGATGGAGGCTTAGGTAAATACGCTTTGTCTCCTCACACATCTGCAAAAAAAATTAATACTAGACCTCAAAACAAGTAACACCCAGAACCGTTAGAAAAATGAGCTGTATAAAAGTCTGACAACCAAGGATTTAAGGAATGGTCCTACAATCATGTGTGGTGGATAAAAATCAGGAGGGATGCTTCAGGAGATTCCAGCCCCATCCAGACCACACAGGCCAGGGTTCCAGCACCAGGAAGATAAATCCCCATAACTTCTGGTTGTAAAAACCAGGGGGGTTGAGGGAATAAACTGTCAGATTTTCTGGAGACTCTGCTTAAAGGGCCCACACAGACAGAGAACTTACACAGACCCACCACCTCTGGGATTCAGCACCAGGGCAACAGTTGGAAGGGTACCAACCCCATAGAGGGAGTAAGACAAGTGACTACAAAAAGGGAGAGTGCCAGGCAAACCTCCAGAAGACAGGCAGCAGCACTGTCCTCTCTCCAAGCCCCCCACAGAGCCACAAAGTGAAGCAGGTTGCCCCACCCACACTGGTGACTACTTAAGGCTCCACCCCATACAACTTACGAGTGTATTTTTCTACAGTAGGCCACACTACTAGGACAAGGAATCAAAGCAGCTGTACCATAATACACAGAAATAAACACGGGGAAGATGCCAAATTGAGGAGACAAAGAAATAGGGCCCAAATGAAAGAACAGAACAAAACTCCAGAAAAATAATTAAATGAAATAAAGATACCCAATCTATCAGATGCAGAGTTCAAAACACTCGTGATAAGGATGCTCAAAGAACTCCTCAAGTATGGCAACAGTATAAAAAACACCCCGAAAGAAATGAAGGTTACACTAAATGAGATAAAGAAAAATCTACAGAGAACCAACAATGAAGGGGATGAAACCAAAATTCAAATCAATGATTTGGAACATAAGAAAGTTATTCAACCAGAACAGCAAAAAGAAAAAATAATTGAAAAAAAGAAAAAAAAAACAACCCTAGGATAGTCTAAGAAGCCTCTGGGACATCTCCAAACAT